TGCCTCCATTTCTTCCCCTTCTATTTGCCAGGAGGTGATGGGACCAGTGGCCATGATCTTAGTTTTTTTGATGTTGAGTTTCAGACCATATTTTATGCTCTCCTCTTTCACCTTCATTAAAAGGTTCTTTAATTCCTCCTCACTTTCTGCTATCAAGGTTGTTTTATCTGCATATCTGAATACTGAATACTCTAAAGGATTATATAGGCAGGCTTGTCATTATTACTCCCAAAGTCACACACAGTTTAATAACTTGACTGCAAGAGGGATATTATGAGACAACTTTTCACTGTTTTGTAGCTTTATGACTGATCCATCAACAGTGCACCCACTGCTCGCTTTGTTCTGGTTTCTAATACAACACTGCTCCCTTGCGTGCAAATAATACATTGCTTTGGAAAAAAACCATTTCCCTTGAGGCTGTTAATGATTCTGCACATTTCTCCAAGATAGTGAGTGTATAAGCTTAATAAGGTGTTTCTGTAAGTTTAGCAACAAGCCCTTTGAACAACAAGCTCCAACATTCTTCATCTGAAAAGTGGGACACGTGTCTTTGGGTGTACAAGTCAGTGGGCCACCTTCCCTGCCACAGCTGCTCACTTCATTCCCTCCTCACTCACTTCCTCCACCCACACTGTGGCAGAGAGGGGCTGGCAAGAGCATTGTGCGTGTCCACCACCTCCACTCCAGTGGGGAGCTGACTCTCCCACTCATGAGGGTTCCACTTCACAAGGGTGCTACTGCAAGCACAAGCACCACCTGCAAATGCTGGCTACAAGTACCAGCTCACTCTCCTCTCTGAGCTTGGTGGCAGCAGCGCTGGGGGGGGGGTTAGAAACAGGACATTTCAGGATCAATTTAGAAGCTGGGATGGCTCCTATAATTCCAAGAACGTCCCAGGAAAACTGGGACACTTGAAGGGTATTCATGAATGTATCTGAACAAAATACTCCCCCGGTTTTTCTCCCCCGGTTTCCTAGTGAGACAGTTTTGCATTGCCCTTTACATACACCTTGAATCAGGCCCCAACTACACTATACATTTAAGGTAGTATTATACCACGCTAAACAGTCATGACCCAAAGAATCCTAGGAACTGTAGCCTGTTAAGTGTGGATAGTTGAGGAGACTTCTATTCATTCTCACAGAGCTACAATTCTTGAAGTGGTTTAACAATCAACTTCTCTTCCTAGGAAGCTCTACCACAGGCATAGGCAAACTGGGACCTCCAGATGTTTGGGGACTACTATACCCATCATCCCTTACCACTGGTCCTGTTAGCTAGGGATCATGGGAGTTGTAGTCCGAAAACATCTGGAGGGCCAAATTTGCCTATGCCTGCTCTACCCTGAGAGGGGAATGGTGTGTGTGGCTTCTAACAACGCTCACCACCCTTAAACCACATTTCCTAGGATTCCTGGCAGTGGCGGCAGGGAGAGCCATAACTGTTTAACGTGTTTAAGTGTTATAATGGTGCTTTAAATGCTTAGAGGCACCAGGTTGTCCCCAAGATTGGGGTAGTGGGTGCTGGTGTGTGTCATGTGTTTGTTGTGTGTCATGTGTCACGTGCAACACAAGAACCCTGGAGGATCTGGCCACTGGACCTGCATCACATATTGCATGTGTGACGTCACACACACTTGACGCATGCAGGGCCACCTGAAGATTGAGGGGACCCATTCTCCTTAAAAATATATGTATCAAGGGGGTCGAAACAGTTGGCGTGCTGGATAGTGCAGATGAAGCCTAAGGCTGTAATCATATAACCACTGGGAGTAAGCTCTATGGAACTCAATGGGACTTGCTTCTGTGTAGACATGTGTTAGGTTTGCACTGTAACTTTATCACAGTGACAGGGAGATTGCCTCCAAATGTTGCAGTCAGGAAAGTCAGGAATTGTACTTTTGACATGGAAGTCAATTGATCTAACTTCAGCAAACTGGGCTTAGTTTTATGAGATAACATCTGGACTCCAGAGAATGTATTCCTTATGTCCATCGTTATAATATCCAACAAAAGAAAGAAAGCCAGTGGTTCTTTTTTATAGATAGATAGATAGATAGATAGATAGATAGATAGATGGATAGATTATTTATTTTATTTCTAAAAAGATTTTCCATCAGGGCAGCTCTCAATCAGTAACACCTTTTAAAACAAATAAATTCAACATCAAAGAAGCACACAGCAAACCCACAGCAGAACGATGATAAACAGCAATTGGAGTTAAGTCAGCAGTGAAAATGACTCTGCTCACATTTTTATAAGACACATGTCTAAATAATATTATTTTTAAACTGATTCCACAGTGCACTTAGTGTTTGAGTGCTGGGTGAAAGAAAGAGCTTATGTATACTCTTGTGAGGCTTGAGAGCTTGTTAAATCTTACAAACAGAAGTTGAGTTAATGAAGAATTACGAACAGCATGCACTAAAGCTGGACAATCATTTCCAGGGAGTTCCACGGAAATGATTCTATGTCAAGACTTGCACCATTCCATATTCCTGGGTAAAAAGGTGGCAGCCCCTATTCAGCCAAGTACTTCTGACCGGTAGCAGATGGTGTGGTAGGATGACACCAGTCACTGAACCTTTGAGCAGTTGTGTTGTTGCTGCTTACTGGGAGGTAAAGGGGAGGGGTGGGGAGGCAACAACGAGATCAGTATGGTGCAAATGCACAAGAGCCAGTTTGGCTCCACCTGTGCATTTACACTACACTGACCTTGCTTCCATATTGGTCATCTACCTCCTGATAAGCTCTTAAGGGGTGTGTGTGCTGTAGCCTATCAACTTTATGATTCCGCTTTGGGGCTTCCTTGGTGGGAAATTTCTGTATTGTGGGAAATTTCAGAGCTGGTGGCACACATCACTCTTACGCTTGAAAAGAGGAGGCTGCCTGTGTTTCTTTTACACTCAGTGCAGAATTTTACCCTTCCACCATGCAGGCTGATTAGCAAGAGGCAAAGGTGGAGCAGTGACAGCCGACATTTTGGATAGTGGAATTTGGACTCAGAGGGTGTCTTTGATTTATTTCTTTTTTACATATGAACACCAGCACAACACTTGAGAATCGTCGATACCAAATGAAACTCATTTGCAGATCAGTTAACACAAACTGTCAGCAACAGGGAAAGTCATTATGTGATTGCTTGGATTTACATGATGAACACTGATTGTGTATGGGTACACAGATAGAGTACAGCTTCCTGCGAATGACAGTCTCATTTGGGTTGCATCAATGTACCCAAACCTATGGAAAACTTTCTACTTCATATTGGCCCTACTCCAAAACTGTGAATTGGCTACATGTTTTGTGGACAAATCTCCACATGCCTAGCTATAAAATGGGTGTCTGGTGCTGTAATGTTGACTAACTCAAATCACCTTGTTTCAGAAGGATTGTGGATGTGTTAATCCAAGCTCTCTCCATGATGTAGAAGCTCAGTAGCAGAGCACATGCTCTACTACTACCAATCCCTGGTGTCTCCAGGTAGGGCTGAAACAATAGAGAGCTGCTGCCAGCTGGTGTCAACAGTATTGAGTCACATGGATCAATGACCAAATATAGCTTCCTATATTCCTGAAAGCCCATACAAAATGTCAGTCAAAGCACCTATAACGTGTTCAATACCATCTTCCCTATGTCTTCCTCTCTCCCATTATAAAGGCTAAGCCTATCGTATTGTTATGTGTTGGAGGGTGGGTAGGCTGCATGCCGAGACCTTTCTAACCCCTGGATCCAGCAAGTGTCGGTGGGGAAAAAAGACAGGCTAGCTTCCTGATGAGGTGATTGCCTGGGTGATGAGCCATTGAGGGGAACAAAGAGAAAGCACTCTGTGCGAGATGGCAAATGGGTGGGGCCCTTTTCTCAACTCATGGGTAGCTAGAAAGACAAAGCCAGAGTTGAGGGCAGAGAGTTTGGAGTGATGTGAGCTAGAAGCCAGAAAGAGAGAGAGAGAGAGAGAGCACATCATGTCTGATTTCTGCTGGAATCCAAGGCTGTGGCTATGGGAGAAACAAGGCGTGTTTTGGGGTGTTAATGCTGTGAACCCTTCCATCACAGACTCAGGTTGTATATATGTATGAGTAAACCTTATATCATAAAGACATCACAGTTTTTCCTGTCCCTCGTTCCGAAGGAAACACAAACCCTGGGTAAGTGCCTGGAACCCCTAGAATCTCACACCGTTTGGAGATTTGAGTTGTGTGCAATAGTATTGTAACCCTGCTAGCAGGAATACCCCCCCCCCCCAAATAATTCATAATTAGCTTAAGAGCTGAAGAGTTGATTAACCAGAGGTTATAGCAAAGTTCTGTAAAACTGCTTTGGTTGAAGTTTGATTACCAAAATAGTCAACTTTGTTCTCTTAATATAACCTCTGTTAATATACTCTCTGCATAAAGCTAGATTTGTACACGCATTTTGAGTTTTTATTTTGTTATCAGTTGTTACAAGGTTATTTGAATAGCATGTGATTATCAATAGAGAATTTTGTAATAAAGCCAGCCAGATCAAGGTTTAGTTGCAATTCCTGCATTGCAGGGGGTTTGGACTAGATGACCCTTAGGATCCTTTCCAACTCTGATTCTATGAAACTCAACTTACTCATGAACTGGCTTCAGCTGTCAGTAAATAACTACAGGCTAAATGTAATCTTATACTGCCATCTAGCTTACAGCTCTTCACATTTCCCTCAAGTATTTACTGCAAAATAAATACATATTTTTATTCAAAAAATATCCTCAATTTTCCTTATTGGCAATTTGGCATTGCTCTTGAAAAGAAAAAAAGGAAAGGGGGAGAAAGAGAAAGAGAGAATAAAAAGCCATCCAATGGCAAGGGGATAGATCTAACTGAATCTGCTGACTCTAAAATAACTTAATACAAAACGAAATAACATTTCTCTGAACGGAATGTATTGGCTGGGGTGACTTATTCTGTGAAAGTGGGAAGAAGTCTCTGTTGCAACTTTGTTCGTTGGTTCTTATATTTTCGGGCAGTACACAAAAGCTTTCACCTTCAAGAATTCACACGATCTCATTTTTTAAGGCATGTTGATGTACTAATTTCTGCTATAATACTTCTTAGCTTGCTTATTATTATTGACCACTTTGAACACAGTCTAAAGCATCTTTCCTCTACCTGGTGCTTTCCAGATGTTTTGGAGTGCAGTTCCCATCAGCACTAGCTCCACAAGCACTACCTTATTCCAACTCTTTACACCAAACCTATCATGTCGGTGAGTATGCTGTAATCTTACAAGCATATGGGAGTAAGGCCTGTTGACCACAGAGGGACTTACTTCTCAGCAAACATGCATATAGCATTGTTCGGTATAATTATCAACGTTGTGGTGTAGGCGAGTGGGGAAGCTGATGCAGTGTGTCTTGTCTAAAGAAGCCTGGTAATTTCATTGCAAAAGGGACACATGGATCAGGGACATCCTGGTTAACACTGCAGTTTCTCAACCACTGTAGTACTCTACTAATAGAAAGGTTAGTGGAAGGTAGGTTTTTGCATATGAAGCACTGTGTTGGGATAATGCAAAACCTGAAAGAGTGGGAAAAGATGGTCAGTAAGGGAATTATGAGTATTGAGTTCCAGGGTGGAACAACAGTGGAGTGAGTGAATGTAAGAACTGTTTTAACAATGGTGTCATGTGTGGGACGCGGGTAGCGCTGTGGGTTAAACCACAGAGCCTAGGACTTGCCGATCAGAAGGTCGGCGGTTCGAATCCCCGCGACGGGGTGAGCTCTCGTTGCTCGGTCCCTGCTCCTGCCAACCTAGCAGTTTGAAAGCACATCAAAGTGCAAGTAGATAAATAGGTACTGCTCTGGTGGGAAGGTAAACAGCATTTCCATGCGCTGCTCTGGTTTGCCAGAAGCGGCTTAGTCATGCTGGCCACATGACCTGGAAGCTGTACACCGGCTCCCTCGGCCAATAAAGCGAGATGAGCGCCGCAACCCCAGAATCGGTCACGACTGGCCCCTAACACCTTTACCATGTGTTCTAGGCTGGAAACACCCACCAGAATTCTCTCTGGGCAGTTGGAAACCTTGGAAAGGTTGGGTTATTGGTGGTATGGGAGAGCTTTGTGTATGTACAGTCTATACATTTATGTACGCATGTAAAAATAAGGTGCTGGTACTCATATATTAATAAATCCTCCCCGCTACCATTCATCACACACACCACAAATACAACTCGCCCTCTCTTGAACAAATCACCTACATACCTCTCTCAGTTTTTGCCTCTTACTTCCCCTACAAATTGAGCGACTCCTTCAGAAAATTTCCTCCATTTCCACCTGACTGGCGGGCAACAGCAGGCTGAGTTTGCTGGAAATACCTCACTGGTCCTTCCTTCCCTCCCCAACCTTTTTTAATTTTACACAAGCCCTAGCACAGGGTGAAGAAGTTGCCTGCTGCTGGATGGTGAGCATGTGGGGATATCTTGCCACTTGTGTTTAATAAGTGTGGAGTGGAGCTTTCAGAAAGAGTTTTGAATCCATGCATTAGAATAGTATTAGAATATCAGAGCAATGCCATGGCAGCAACTGCTGGCAGAGAAGATCTCTTCACTGATATCTTACTTCCAACACATCAAAATTTTCCAGTTCATGTCCATGTAAAAAACTATTTCTACAGAAGCGAGAATATGGTAGCAACGAAACCGTCAGCACATTATAGTAAGATTTGAAAGTGTTTCCATGTCATGAACTGCTTGCAGCTGGGCTGCTTGAGAGAGCATGGGTCCGATTGTCCCAGTTTGGAGGACACATCCCCCCAAAGCAACTGGTTTGATACCCTTTCACAAAATGGTCTACATTTTTGCAAAGCAGTTTCACCTCATGTAATGTGTTTTTCATTGTTATTTTCATACATGCATTTCTATGCACACTTTACCCTAATATATGCCTTTTTGTACACATTGCCTGGCTGGAGAAGTGCATTGCAAAATTAAAGTAAGTGCACGTTTCAGAGGAAGGCTACATATTGTTTCAGAAAGCGCAGGTTAGGTAGCTTCAATTTTTAATGTGAATTGAATCAAATGTCTGTCCCATCTGTACCTTTTGCAGCATAAACTACCTTTCTAGTTTAAAGTCATATGTGTGAGAGCTGACAGCAGGACCGTATGACTGGCCTCTAAAATGTATGGAAATATTTCTCTGGAACCAAAGCACCAGCTGCCCTCAGCCCAAAATGCCCTGTCTCTCATTTCCTATAAACATGTGAGAGGGATTTCGTTTACTGAAGCTGGCCAGCAGCCCACAAACACTGCAATATTATCTTCAGGAACCTTTCCTTTGCCGCCTAATAAATCCTTCACAGATTTCTTCCATTTGCCTGGCAAGTTAGAGTTCACATCTTTGGTTTGTGAGGGTTTCTGGCCCTTCCCTAATTTCAGGAAATCTGGTTCTCTAGTAGATTTCTCAACACATCTGTTCATCTTCTGGGTGCATTTCATGGGGGTGAACTAATTTTCTTTCTTTCTTTCTTTCTTTCTTTCTTTCTTTCTTTCTTTCTTTCTTTCTGTGTTTTATTTCATTCGAACACTTCCCCTGAAACTGGCAAGTCATTAAGAATTTATATCTTGTATTGTGAGGAATCGACAAGTGGATTTATGGAGGTTTGCTGGTGAGAGAGATTTTGAAAAGGAACATCACATAAAATTACCTGTGTTCACTCAGAAGATTTAATAATCCTCATTAGGAAGTGAGAAAACTGCAGGAGGCCTTTGTAAACTTCACCAAAGGAATTCTCTTTGCTGAGTCGTCATTCATAGGCCTATCCAACAAGGCATACATGGGCAAGAGGCAGATCATGACAGGCCCTGGCCTAGGCTGCAAACAGAGGGACCATCTCTAGGGGATCAAAAGATCAGACATATGGCAGGAAGTGTCAGTGGGAGGGGGAGTGAAGAAGGCCCCACTCTCACCAGAACTTCTATTTTGCATGGAGAACCCAAGAAGCTGAAAACTAATTTTAGAAAATCTTCAGTTTATACACTCTTCCTCTTCCAGATAAAGGCAGTGCTGGTATCAGCACTTGTATTCTTGGGTCGATCCTGGGGAATAATGGTGTAATCCTAACCCTGGCTACTAACAAACAGGTGGGGTATAACGAAGGTGGTGGTGGGTGGAGAAGCAAATTCCTATTGTAGCTTGGAATTGGCAAAGTGATCAGGCCCAAATTGGGCCCAGTGCCATTACATGATGACAGCAAGGGTGCCTTGGGAACCGATGGATCTCCGCTGGCTGAGAAGAATAACACGATGATGATGATGATAATTTATGTATTTATTTATACACCGCCCATCTGGCTGGGTTTGCCCAACCACTCTGGGTGGCTTCCAACTGAATATTAAAAACAATACAACATCAGACATTAAAAACTTCCCTAAACAGGGCCGCCTTCAGTTGTCTTCTAAAAGTAAAATAGTTGTTTATTGCCTTGACATCTGCTGGGAGGGCATTCCACAGGGCAGGTGCCACTACCGAGAAGGCCCTCTGCCTGTTTCCCTGCAACCTCAATCCTCGCAGTGAGGAAACCGCCAGCAGGCCCTCGGCGCTGGACCTCAGTGACCGGGCTGGATGATGGGGGTGGAGACGTTCTTTCAGGTATACAGGACTGAGGCCGTTTAGGGCTTTAAAGGTCAGCACCAAGACTTTGAATTGTGCTCGGAAATGTACTGGGAGCCAAAGAAGATCTTTCAGAACCAGTGTTATATGGTCTTGGTGGCCACTCCCCGTCACCAGTCTAGCTGCCGCATTCTGGATTAATTGCAGTTTCCGAGTCACCTTCAAAGGTAGCCCCACATAGAGCGCATTGCAGTAGTCCAAACAGGAGATAACTAGAGCATGCACCACTCTGGCAAGACAGTCTGTGGTCAGGTAAGGTCTCAGCCTGCATACCAGATGGAGCTGGTAAACAGCTGCCCTGGACACAGAATTAACCTGTGCCTCCAAGGACAGCTGTGAGTCCAAAATGACTCCCAGGCTGCGCACCTGGTCCTTCAGGAGCACAGTTATCCCATTCAGGATCAGGGAGTCCTCCACACCAGCCTGCCCCCTATCCCCCAAGAACAGTGCTTCTGTCTTGTCAGGATTCAACCTCAATCCATTAGCTGCCATCCATCCTCCAACCGCCTCCAGACACACAGGACCTTCACCGCCTTCACTGGTTCTGATTTAAAAGAGAGGTAGAGCTGGGTATCATCCGCATATTGATGAGCACCCAACCCAAACCCCCTGTTGATCTCTCCCAGTGGCTTCGTGTAGATGGGGGAGAGGATGGAACCCTGAGGCACCCTATAAATAAGAGCCCAGGGGTCTGAACACTCATCCCCCCCCCACTTTCTGGACACGGCCCAGGAGAAAGGAGCAAAACCACTGTATAACAGTGCCCCCAGCTCCCAGCCCCTCAAGACGGTCCAGAAGGCTGTTATGGTTGATGGTATCAAAAGCCGCTGAGAGATCCAGCAGAACTAGGAAACAGCTCTCACCTTTGTCCCTAGCCCGCCGGAGATCATTGACCAGTGCGACCAAGGGAGTTTCAGTTCCATGGTGAGGCCTGAAACCTGACTGGGAGGGATCCAAATGGTCCGCACACTCCAGGCGTGCTTAGAGTTGTTCAGCAACCACTCGCTCAATCACCTTGTCCAAGAATGGAAGATTTGAGACTGGGCGATAGTTGGCCATATTGGCCGGGTCTAAAGATGTTTTTTTAAGAAGCGGTTTAATGACCGCCTCTTTCAGTGGGCCTGGGAAGGCTCCCTCAGAGGGAAGCATTCACTACCCCCGAAGAAGAAGAAGAAGAGGAAGAGGAGGAGTTTGGACTTGATATCCTGCCTTTCACTCCCCTTAAGGAGTCTCAAAGCGGCTAACAATATCCTTTCCCTCCCTCCCCCACAACAAACATTCTGTGAGGTGAGTGAGGCTGAGAGACTTCGGAGAAGTGTGACTAGCCCAAGGTCACCCAGCAGCTGATTGTGGAGGAGCGGGGAAGCGAACCCGGTCCCCCAGATTACAAGTCCACCGCTCTTAACCACTACACCATACTGGAAGAGATTGATCAGGCAAGGAACAGGCCAGTAGATTCCTCACTATCCCCCACCCCGCTGTCTCCTAGATCCAGAAGGGGGTTGAAGAGGGAAGGGCAGGGACTGTTTTTGTGATGGGTGTTTGGAATATTTGGTTGGGATATCAACTGAAATATGTAGCATGAACCCCAAAATGTGGGTGCTTTTGACAACAACAACAACAACCGAGCAATGTTAGCAATAGTTGGCCACTCTAAGAACAGATTCCTGGGCTAGATAGACCTTTGGTCTGATCTAGAAAGGGTTTTCCTGAGTTTCATCTTCTACAAAGACTCTTCTTTAAGTAGCTCACGACTTCATTTCTTATAAATCTGTGATCAATGGATTATTATTATTTTTGACATTGTTGCTGTGATTAACTGGAGCATTCAGTCCAAGCAAAGAAGCATTTGTTAACATCCTTTGGCAGTTTGACTTTTCTTCATATAATAAAGAAAAAGATACGCTGCTATGTTTATTTAACCTGAACCTTTAAAAAGAAACTATATCTACTTAAAGTCCTAAAGTGGGGCTTTAAGTCTAATCGTTGTCATTCGCGTATTCACTCACTGGAGATAATTTGGCCATTTTCATTCATTATTTATAGTAGAACAATTGTGTGGGTGGGCGGGGGGCGGGATGGGACGGGACACAAACACTCAGGAAAAGAGCAAACATTTGGAAGTATTTACAGGTCTTCGTGCAGAACTGAAACTACGAAATAGCAGTGCTCAGAGAATTGGTTCCAGGTGCAAATTAAGAACAAAAAGACTAATAATTTTATAAGCATCAGGGCATATATATTTCTCCTTTTAGAATATATGTAAACATTTAAAATATATTCTATCACTTATAACCATTTCAAAACACACAAACAAAAATATGAGGTAAATATTAAGGGAGGAAATATTTAACTCAAATATATATATGTGTGTGTGTGTGTGTGTGTGTATATATATATATATTGCTAAGCAGATTACTCCATCAATGCAAGGATTTCTGCTTGCCTGATGCAACAATATTCCCTCTCTTCCTTCAAGGCAAGAAAGTTTCTCATCTCTTCCACCTCAGCAGTCACCTGCACCTCCTACAAACCATCTCATGAGTACCATGTAGTGTTGCCATGTGTCCTCTTTTTCCTGGGTAGAGTTGTCATAGCGATCCATAGTTAAAAGTAGAAGTCGGCAAATGTGTCCTCTTTTTTGCTTTTCAAAATATGGCAACCCTAATTAGGACATAGGGTGCTACCTTATATTGAGGCCATTGATCCCTCTAGCTCCATATTGCCTGCATTGACTGAAATTAGCTCTCCTGGGTTTCAGATGGAGCATTCCCAGCCCTACCTTGAAGTGATGGAAATTGAACCTCTAACCTTCTGCATGCAAAACAGATGCTCCACCACTGAGGTATGGCTTTTACTCAGATGGAGGCAGAGGGAAGTGAGGTATGGGAGACGTTCCTTCCATGTTTTGCCTTAAGTTAACATCTTAGGATCTGAGCCAGTATCTTTATTGATATTTTCTGACAGCTTCCTTCCTTCCTGGTGTATGCACCGTGTATGTTAGAAATTGACCCCAGTGTCTTGCAGTTTTGGCAAGATCTATTACTATTACTGTTACTATTATTATTATTCTATTTATATCCTGCCACTTATGGCAAAGCACTTCCAGGTGGACTTGCAGCATAAAATAAACACAGAAGAGGTACATTTATCTAATTATTATATTTATGAGGCACCCCATAAAATAAATTATCCAGGCATAATAAAGAATAAAAAGAATAAAATATAAAAACATGCTGCAATAAAACCAGACTATAATACACTGCACACTACACCAAAACCACAATAAGGTTAAAGACAAGCAGCCTGAAAAACCAAATACAAAATCAGCCCCCAAAGAAGCACATACAGCAGCATAGAACCAAACTGCCAACCATGCTGCGGGGTCTTAAAATCAGAACTGAGAGAAAAGAAAAGTCCTCATCTGAAAAAGATCACAATGTGGGCACCAGGCACGATTTGCTAGGAAGAACATGTCACAGCTAGGGGGCTACAACAAAAAAAGCCCTGCCATCCTCCAAACAGTAGTTATAAAAATGTTAATGTTTTGCATGTTTCTTCTTCTCCCCCCCCCCAATAGTTTAATGTACTTATATTTTTAATGCAAGTTGCTTGGAGACCTTAAGTAACAAGCTAATAATAATAATAATAATAATAATAGGAGGGTGCACACTGAAAAGGGTGCCTGTTGATGACCTGAAGGTATGCCTAGGTGAATATAGGAGGAAGTATTCTGTTAGGTACTGAGGTCCCAATCTGTGCAGGGTTGCCAGTAGTGTGGAAGAGAGAAAAGCAGTCGCAACGTGTGACCAAAGGTGCAGACACTCAGCCAAATTCACTCTTTAAAATATCAGATCAAACAGCAACAACACCACTATAAAAGGTAAGTGTGGAAAGGTCTGTGGCCTCTGTCCAGGCAGCTCCCGCAAGCACCTGTGTGATGTGAAGTCGTTGAAGGCAGAGGAAATCTTTCAATCCTATTTAGAGAGTGAAATTGTTAAGCGTTGACAATGTGCATCATGCATGCCACCTCACACCTTTCACAGCTGTATGACAGGCAAACATGTAAAGTGCTTCTCCATCAAATAGATTTGATGATGGGGGGGGGGAAAATACCACTTTAATTTCAGAAATGTCTGCCATGTAGCTGTCACAAGGTATGTGTGCTTTTGTACTTTAACCGCTACATGAAACAGGAAAAGTCAGTCAATGAAGCTGTTCTCAATGCTGCCTCATGTTAGGGCTGGGAAACTTGTGACCTTTCTAATGTTTTTGAACTCCAGCACCCATCTGACCCAGCCAGCATGGTCAAGGGTCAGGGATGATGGGAGTTGTAGTCCAGCAATGTTGGGAGGGTCACAGGTTCCCCACCTTTGTGTTAGGGAAAGCTTCTCCTGCAAGATGTCTACATATTGAAGACACAAAGGTGCTGCCGGGAAATTTATTTATTTATTTTTAAAACACACAATTTTAATGTTATTGCTGTACTATGTGCTGAGGCAGGTGTTGGGCTGGATTGCTTTCATGTGCTGAATTTTACTTTCAAGATGTGCTGGAGTGATCACATGACCAACATGCTAAATTCCATACTAATTGCTTCAATCTACACTCACAGCAGTGTAGCTCAGTGGTATGAATTGGTCATTTGCACTGCTCTGCAAAGCCTTCCAAGATCTTTCTGTTTTAAATAAACTCCCTTATTGAAGAAGCACCATTTCAGTGATATACCAAGAGCCATACTTCACGTGAGGCACAGCTGTGTGGGTCTTAAATGCTTAGCCTGGAGTGCAGAGAGGGTCCATAAAGAGCAAGGTTAATTGTGAGGCCATGACTGCCTAAAATAGTTGTCTGTTAGACAAGCTGTGATCTTGGGTTTGATTACTGGCTTGTCACAAAGGCTTAGTTCTGTGAGGTGGTGAGAAGTCCCACAAGGTGAGGCTTATATGACAGAATGCTCCTCCATCAAAAAAAAATCCTTTCTGTCACAAAGGCTTAGAAGACTCAATGGTCAGGAAGCTGCACAATGACTTCATTATTGTAAACAAGAACATGCCGCCACAGGAAACTCCATCCAGATAAAACGATCAATCCTACACGTTCTTGCCTGGGAGTAGAGCATCTGTTTTGCATTCAGAAGGTCCCTGATATCTCCCTGCCTAAGACCTTGGAATTGTTGCCTAAAACCTGCCAATACAAAACTGGATGGATCAATGGTCTGATTCAGTATAAGTCAGTCAGCAGAAGAACATCTTTTCTTTAAAAGGAAACCCCAGATGTATTCTCACAAGTTATACTTACATTTGAAAAAGGCATGTTTCATGAATGCATTCATTTTAAAAAGAGTCCTGGGATGGTAATTTCTCATTGCTAATTGCACAGGCTCAGAACCAGTTGCCTCTACTACCATTCTGCAACTACATTTGCGCTGCAGAAACATCTCCAGTCGATGTTGCAAATTTGGATTAAATTCTGTAACCGACATGGCTCCCCCCTAAAAAATTCTAGGAATTGTGGTTTGGTGAGGAATTCTCAGAAATCCTGAGATCCCTTTCATCCAAACTGCAGATCCCATAGCTCCTAGAAGAGGGAATGAGTGACAAACACGTTTATTGGTGCATGTTGCAATCCTTTAAATACCAGTAAGTAAATCCCATTGAACTCAATCCGATTCACTGCTGAATAGACACAATGGGCTTGTTCTGTATGTCCCATTGGAGTCAAAGGAGCTGACTCAGTTCTAAGTAAGTATAGGCTTGCAGCATCAGGCTAAACTGAACAAAATATCTGGTTTCTACAAGGAAGAATACACCAATTCTGCAAGTTTGGGCAGCAGCCAAAATTAGTTAATGGAATAGTTTTTAGCAATTTAAAGGGTTGAATATGTTAACCTTTTCCAGAAGTGAAGAATTGCTTGAGATGTTTCCCTCCATATATTTAATTCAGGCATCTTTTATTCTGTTACATATATGCTATGAGAGTGAGAGTTCAAAATTGGAGAACCAAAACAGATCATGCCCACAAAATATGAACACATGTTGTGTTACTATAATTACACATTGCTCAGTTTCATGGGAGATGCAATGTGGAAAATCATCAAAAGGCTTAGAATTGTTTAAGTCCAAGTTGGGTCCCCACATCAACCCCTTCCCTACATATTCCAGTTATTGAAAGTATGCAAACACATACAAAATCACAGAGAAATATCTCAAAGAAAATCCAATTGTAAGTGCAATAAAAATATTTTGTATCTGGATGGCATAATTTCATAGGAAAAGCGCAAAATGTTTATGGAATAAATATGACTGAAAGAATTAAAGGGATCAAAAACTGCTAACAGTCACCAACAATTGAACCACATAATAGTTTTCAGGAATTATTAATCGATGGTTATTTTTAGGTTTTAATATGTGCAGTATTGATATAAAGTAGTTCAGGCAAACGTTATAGCTGCAGTAAAACAAAACAAAACAAAACAAAAAACAAATCCTTGGTTTGTATGTAATAGGTTAACTGCTGGCCTACTTGCATAGACCTGTATGGATATAGGCTGTATGTGCATTCTGTGAACCTGATTGTAGGAGTTTGGAAAATACATGGAAAGCTAATGCCTTAATGGAGTGCCACTACCATAAAGGCCCTATTCCTAATGGAAATCAATGCACTAGAATTACCAGATAGGCAGGCTGACCTGGTGTCTCCAGGTTTGCCTAACCCCACACCCCAGGTGGCAGGTGAAGGGCTTGAATCTCCAGGTGGACGAAAGTGGCAACAACAACAACAACAATTAATCAAGAAGACTACATACAGCTTGGAAGCTTCAGGCCAGCAGGAGCTGGCTGAAAAATATTGCATATACTTTCAGGGGAAGGGGTCTGCCCTTTCCTCCCCTCCCCATCCCAATTAACCTCCATCTCTACAAATGATTGCGTAGATGCTCTGGGGCGTGTGTGTCTGCCCTTCTCTACTGTCCCAATTAACCTCTGTCTCCAGGCCTCAGTGGTGGGAAGGAGCACAGAGGACGACAAAGGACTGGGCTGTGCTCAAGGGTCCAGGTTATGAGTACGCATGCACCCCTGGCACAAGGTGTGGGGCTGCAAAGTGAGCAGAGCACGGCAGGAGCAGGAGCAGGAGCAGGAGCAGGAACCAAGTCCTGCTGCTTCTGCCACCCACAGCAACTCATGGATGGCCCTTTGTTCTTCCTGAGGAAGTTTGAGGAGGTGGGGCCGAATACCGACTGAGGGAGACTAGTGCTGAAAAGCTGGAGTGGAGGAGGAGGTATTTATTATTTATTTTCATTCAAAGTGGAGTAGAGACTTGATAGATCATTTCAGGGAGAAGTAGGTGGGGTGGGGGCTGCCTTGGAGACAGAGGAACAGAAAAAGCTGCCAAGATCCCAATCACATTCTAGTGTGTTTGCCCCATTCCAGTGTGTTCCCTCCCCTCTTTCCACCTCAAGGGCAGCCCCTCCCAATAATCCACTTGGGAACCCTAGGAGTGTGCACAAGAAATCAATTTGGATATTGGAAAGAATGGAGTGTGGAAGGGGAGGTGTTTAAGAAAAATGGCAGATTTTGCTTTCCAAGCTAAAATCTGAATTGATATATTGATCGACAGAAGCTATATTGATTCACAGCTACATTAATTCATAAAATGGGCATGTGCTAATGATAACCTAGTAGTTCCCCACTCCCACATGTCTGAAACACAGAGTTTGTGGAATATATTGTGCCTGTGTATAAAGCAGATGTTTGGAAAGTGCTGTCTTGGGGGACAGGGCAGCTGTAGATCGTGAGATTAGAAGGAAATTAAATGCATACCGTACTGACTGGCAGTTGTGTCATTTACACTGGCTGTTCACAAGAGCAGTTCACAGCAAGCACAGGAGCAATGGCTTTAGCTATGGTTTCTATCTTAATTTACAACCAGTGACATATTTGCTCATTTGTTAGACTTTGGTTTTTTACTTGAATGACATGCTCTCGGCAACTGTGGTTAATGCTTGGTGTGCCATGCTTAATTACATCACTGGGGGGCCACCCCTTGGTCTCATGTTTGGGCCCTGGGATCCTCCTGATCTACAATGCACAACAATACAGGTCTACATTTGTAGACTTTCCCTTGCAGGCATCCATGCCTAATGCATGAATGTCAGTCAACAAACTGCAATAAAGACATATGCTGCAGCCATTAGTTGATGGGATTTAGCAGCCCTGGAACTTCACACTTCACTCCTTCCAAAACTGACATAATTCCTTTTTAGTTTTATCACTCTGTCACGGACAGAAATCAGGACCAGAGCTTCTTAGTGAAGTAGGAGCTGCCACATGGTTTGAAGGTTTCAGTGCCATTAACCAAAAGCACCTCCATCTTAGAGATGTCAGATTTCTGGACATTTTGAGGCTGTAGGGAATAAACATTTTTTCCTCTCCCCTCCCTGGTAAAAAGGAGGTTTTTGGGGAAATTGAGATGCAATACATAAGCAACAAATGACCTGTATGGGCCTCATTAAGATGCCATCCCTCACTAAGTGCAGGGACATACCTTGATTATGGCTGTTTTATATGTCAGAATTATCATTCTTGAATGTTGTAGACCATCTTAGATAGAAAATTGTGATTTAAAAAAACATTTTGTATTATAAAAGAGAATTTTTTTTCACATACCCCCCAATCAGATTTTCTATTGGAAACGTGGGGAGGGAGAGTCTTTAAAAATGAAAAAAATCTAAAACGCATTTAAAACGCTGTTTTTTGACTAATGTAGCTGAGTCCCAGATCTCTACTCCTTCTAGAAAGCCTTTGAACAAACTGGGCTTACCAGCTGGTGCTTTAAATTTCGGGCATCACACTGTGACATCTAGAACAGAAGATGACTTCTAGAAGCATTGGCTTCTGTAGCTGTCCACGTGCCGCCTCTTCACCAATGTATTTGTTTGTGGCCCTTTTACATATTCAAGCATTGTAAACTGAACACATAAGAGGCAGCAGCAGTGCTTTTTTCCGGCAGTATGTGACAGTACAGAGTACCACCACCTTTTTGGGGTGTGGGGAAGAAGGCGGGAGGGCTCTTTGATCCTGTCAAAGCAT